GACACCCAGACTCGGGAGCCTCGAGACGGGGGTCAATGCAAACGGGGGTCAGCCAGGGCACCGGATCCTGCAGGATCCTGCGAAGACCCCCTCTGGCTGACCCAGGTTAGCGAGCCGCTCGTGGCCGCGGGGCGGCCGCGCCTACTGGCTGACCCGGGTTTGCGAAGACCTACGTTGCAGTTTTTTCTCCTGCATTGCAGTTTTTTGGTTTCCTGCTGATCCGGGTCTGCATTGACCCGGGTCACAAGATCCCCGAGGACAGCTTGACCCCTTTCGGGTCATGAACAACCGTGAAAGAAGGGTTCGGGATGGAGACGGTTTTTCCTTCGATTTTGGCAAGTTTACTTGCATCGACGGGGGGGCAGGAGGCGCGCCCCAAGCAAGCCAGAAGCAACTTGCACAGTGCCCCGCATGGGCAGCTTCGAGTACCTCCCGGCATCAGGTATCCCAAGATGCACCCTCCCCAGGTTTCACGAGGACGTTGCATTCATCCTGCTCCTGGAGCTCTTTTGTGAACAGCACCGTGTCGCCATACATAAGCTGTGCCTACCATATGGTACCAAACCATAGAGCACTAAAAATAAGGCACCAGCAATGGGGCACCAACCACAGGGTCCGAACCATAGCGAACCAAAGGCTAGCAACCAAAGAGTACTAACCAGGATGCGCCAACCACAGGGCAGCAACGCGTGCGGTACCAACCATTGACAACCAGCACACAACGTGCATCATAGTGCAATGGCAAACGCAAGCACATGCACATTAGATGAGAACAACTGCAAAGACAAGCAACATGCAAGACACGCAGATGCAAACAACATGCAAATGCGAGAAGTGCAAGCGCATGTAATCAAAACGCACTGGGAAACCATGAGGTACTAGTTTGGGCCCACATTGGAACCCCCATTGCAAGTTTACCTGGAGAAAGCAAAGCGATCCGATTCCCCAACGGCCCCTTGCACTTGCACCCGGGGGGGGGCGGCGGGAATCGCGCGAGTCGAAAGGCACTTGCACGCTAGTATTTTGTGTTTAGAGGGGCGAGGGGGGGGTGTAAACGACGTCTCAAGAAAAAGCATATGCGTTTAAACGCGATCGCGCCCTGGTGCAGGCGAGAAGCCTGTCGTATCTAATTTTCGGCAACGACGAAGTTATATATATATATATATATATACACAGATCTGTATAAATATATAGATGCTCGCCCCCAGCCTACACGGGAGCGCCGCCGTATCTAAACGTATTTATTGTTCAGACATGTAAAATATGACCGTATCCATTGTTGCGAGACAACACATCTATTCGCATCTAAGTTTCAAATAATGGCATTGTCTCGCCTTATCTGTTCGTATCTAATATTGTCAGAACGGATGCTGTTGGCTGTGCTCTCGGAGCGAAAAAGATCCATGATACTGGTCGAAGCAGTCAGCAATGGAATGGGGATAGTGGGAAGCCGTAGCGGTGAAGATGAGGAGACGAGCGACGACGACAAAGACGACGAGGAGCAGGATGGATAATACCGATGAAACGAGATACAGGAGATAATCGAGGAGGAACATGGAACACTAGGAGGGGGAGAGCACAGAGAAGGAGAGGGACGAGGACGAGGAGGATGCGTCAAATCGGAAGTGGAGGGAGTGGCGCCTGCAAGGAGAAGCGAAGATGAGCACGGAGGAGGGCGGATGAGGAGGATCCAGGAGGAGTGAGGAGCGAGAATGGTCGATCGCGGGCGTGCGCAGAGGGCTCGAGGGACGATCGTGATGGCGGTAATGGTGATGACGAGGAGGAGCATGAGGGTGACCATTGCGGGGGAGTGCCGATGAGGTTGACGAAAGTGTGGAGAAAAGCACGGGACTCCTGAGGGCGAAATTGGGAGGGGTTCGGGGAAGTAGGAGGAGGAGGAGAAATGCGAGGACGAATCAGTGGCGCGAGGGGGATATTGATTTCGATGAGGACGCATGAGGATCATGATTTGGAGGCACGGGGACGAGTGATTTGGACGATGAGCGCGGACGAGGGGGAAGATGAGGGCGCGCGGCGAGGAGGCAAGAAGAGCGAGGTGGATGGAGTAGGAGGGAGCATCAGGAGGATAACGTGAAGGAGGGAGAGTCAGGGCGGGGATGCAGTAGAGCAATGGTTGAAGAGAATGGCTCCTCTGCTTCTTCCACTTCGCCACCGTGATCGTTCGGCTCGCCCGCCGTCCCCCCTATCCCATCGGTTCGTCATGATTTCCCCCTCCTCCTCATTGTTGTCGTCCTGACTGGCATGTGTATTGTCTTCCCTGTTCATGGTCATTGAGCGGCCTCGGCATGGCAGTGATATGGCGCCGCATCTATTCGTATCTTTTCTTGGCATACATGTTTTCCAGCGATTGGCGCCATGTTGAACCGTATCTAAACATGTATACTTGTATCTAGAGATGACGCCGTATCTAAAAGTAATAATATACATACCTCCCGCATTAAACAAACGAAGCAATCGTATCTACATGCATTTATTTTTGAAAGATGTCAATCATATCTAGTCTTATTCAGGGGAACTTTGTCAAACGCAGATGGTTCAGGGACGAATGTTAGATGCCGCGCGGCCATTCCGAACGCAGCTGCCGCCGGGGAAATGAGCGACGCAAATGCAGGTGTAGATGTGTCTTCCACGGAAATAAATTTGCCTGAATCCAAAGCAAAACCGCTTCCGGCCCGGACCCCCCCTGGTCCGGGCCCCCCCCCTGGTCCGGACCCCCCCCAGTCCGGACCCCCTCCCGGTCCAGAGCCCTTTTTTGGTCTGGACCCCCTCTGGTCCGGACGCCCCCTTCCCCGGTCCGGACCCCCTCCGTTCCGACCCCACCCCGGTTTGGGCCCTCCGGAATCCGGGCTCTTGGGGGTTCGCCGGGGCCGGGACCCCCGATCGGGCCCCCCCGCGGCCCTTTCTTGGAAGACACATCTAAACATGTATTTTGGTTGCTCGTTCCCCCGGCGGCAGTTGCGTTCGGAAGGGCCGCGTGGTATCTGCAATTCTTCCCTGAACCATATGCTCTTCATGGTTTTATGATGAAAATTAGATACGGATATAACTATTCCAAAGATATATACGTTTAGATACGACTGCATATTTCCAGATACGGGATATATATATGTGAGAGAGAGATTTTTACTATTTTTAGATACGCAATCATCTCTAGATGCGAGTAGATATGCTTAGAAATGTTTAGATACGGTTCAATATGGCGCCAGCCGCTGGAAAACATGCATCCCAAACATAGATACGAATAGATGCGGTGCCACGTCTCCACTGCCAGGCCTAGGCCGCTCAATGACCACGCAAAGGGGAATACAATGCACATGCCAGTCAGGACGACGATGATGAGGATGAGGAGGAGAGGGAGGAGGAGCCGGAGGAGGAGGAGGAGGGGCAGGAGGACGAGGAATTGAAATGGAACATCATGGCGGATCCTAAAACCTCCTCGCACGCACCCCGCACCACGCCTTTCACTTTCGATTTGGCGCGTCCTCCTCGTTCTCTTCCTCCGCCTCCTTCTCCTTCTCCTCCTCCTCGTCCTCCTTCTCCTCCAGACCCTTTTCTATCGAGACCTCCATTCCCAGGGGCAGATTCTTTTTCTTCATCGTACATCGCGAAAGGGGCCTCACATGCCCCAGTTGCGGCCGCTCTTCTGAGGGCGGCTATGGCGCAGCAGCAGCTTCGACTATTGGGGTGGAACCCTCAGTCTTGCACGGGCGATAGGCTCGAGGAGGTGGTGGTGGAGACTTCGAATTTCGACCTGATTTTGTTATATGGAGCCCAGTCGGTGGATAGGATTCAGCAATTATCGGGGAGTGCTGTTTTGCGGCGACATGTCCAGGGACGTCTAGTATTGGAGGCCCCTTTCGGCCCATCGGCTCTGTTGAGTAACTCGAGCGCTGGGTGTGCTGTCGTTTTGGGAAAAGGTTTCCAGGAACAACATATCATTCAGACGTGGGCTTCCCCAGCGGAGGCCAAAGGACGGTGTCTTGATATATGTGGAAGCAGCTTTTGCTTTCCACCGAAGCCATCCCGTCTCCAGCACCGCCCAGATTACCTTCGCACTGTTCGTGTTCTTACCGAGTGGCTTAGCGACTTGCTCTCTGCGCTGCCGCACAGGACTTCGCTTGTGATTTTCTGCGACGCCAATGACGGGATTGGCCTGCCAGTGGGAGGAGGGATCGAGACGGTCGTCGTGCAGGCCCCGTCACCAGAGCGTGTTCGAAAGGGAGCAGGTGAGCAGCTTCGCGAATTTTTCGAATCTCACGAGATGGCGGCTACAAATGCTAGAGGGAGCTCTGTTATTCCAATTTTCTATGTTCAGGATGGCGGCAAGTCTCGTATCGATTATTTGTTCATACCGTGTGGAATGGAAGATTCAATGGCACACTCACGTGTTGTTAGACGTCTGGATGTCCGGCTTCAGGCATTCCAAGGGCCGAGTCCACGTGATCACTTGCCGATTGAATGTGCGTTGTGGTATTCGCAGCACTCGATTGGACCGACGGATGCTCAGACTCGCCTACGCTGGGATCGTGACAAGGTGATGGCAGCCTTACAACGTGGACAACATAACGCGGGCTTTCTCACATCTGTTCAAGTGCAGCTTGACCAGCGCCGCGCGTACCATTATTTGAAAGAGCATGGTTTCTTTGATGAGATGTTCGAACTGTTGGATTATTGTATGACGACAGCAGGACAGGCGCACTTTAGTATGGCGACGCTCTGCCTCGACACGCGACGATAGGCTGAGCGCAGAGAGAGAGTGAGAGACGACGACGACGACGATTGCTTCACTTGCGGGCAGATCTACGCGAGGGTAGGATAGAAGCTTCCCCTGAGGAGGTTGCTCACATGGATGCTGAACCTACGCGCATTCCCAAGAGCAGCGACTACTACGACGAAAAGACTCTCGCGCACTTCGGTCTCAGTTGGTGGCGGAAACGACGGGTTTGTGGAGTCACCAGAAGCGGGCATAAGGTATGAGG